CAACCAAACTCAACAAAAAAACTTGAAATCAGGATTAAAAACTGTAATCTCGTTACTAACTGTTCCGGGAACCTAGGCGCCAAACTTTCGGGTAGCCGGCGCTCCAGTGCTAGAAGTGAGTGTCTAAGCTCCCACAATGGGCACCTAAGCGCCCATAATGAGCACGGGATTTTCCATCTGCTCGATCTGGGAACACCCAATGGGCGCTTGAGTGCACATAGCCAGGCGCCAAGAGCACTGTTTGCGAGAAAGCTAGCCTACTTGCTGCACATGGATGCTCCAGTCAGACTCTTCACCTAACAATAACGATCAAGAGAATACCAACATTTATGCTAGAGGTCCTCCTTAAAGTCATGGGAGTGTGAGAAGAATGGAGAGGAATCATATCACTTCTGTAATTAAATTCTGAGGTGGAAGGTGTAGGTGCCTCAAAGTTGGGGTAGATCGGGACAATGGACTTGTTAGCACGAGTGACACGACAGGTACTGTCCTCTCATTTTGTTTGCTTCTCCTTTTATACACCGTCAACTTTCCTTGAGCTTGAATTCTGCCACCTTCAGGCTCATTTTCCTTATGGATTGGGTTTTCCTCATTCGATCCTTCCCATCAAATGGGACAAGACATCGTCCCCATATGTCAATCTCTCAACATCACTACTCTCCCTCTTTTGCCTCATATTTCCATTATCTGACGAGTCACCAGTGGGTGAGGTCACCTCCACGGAATAGTACGGTTTGAATTTTCTAAAAATAACATCTATACTCACAAACAATTTCTTCTCTATTGGGTTCCAACAAACATAACCCTTCTAAGTAGTAGAATAATGCAAAAAAATGCACTTCACAATTCTGTGATATAGCTTCCCTATTGCTGGTCTATTGTCCTTCACGAAACGTACACAATCAAATACCTTCAATGGGAGGATCCCACCATTATTTCCTTTTAACAACTCACAAAAAGATTGTCACTCCAACATACTTGAAGACATTCTATTGATCAATTGAGCAGCTGTCAAAACTGTTTGCCCCCACAGGTATTTTGGGACGTTCATCAAGATCATCATGCTTCGGGTAATGTCTAGAAAGTATCTGTTCTTTCTCTTTGATACTCCATTTTGTGTCAGTGTGTATGAACATGTGGTTTGATGTTATATCCTCAAGACTGACATGTACCCCCTAAATGCATTATTGGTATACTTTGACTCATTATCAGACCTCAATACCTTCACAATTGCATCGTATTGAGTCTTAATCGTCATTTGAAAGTCTTTAAAGCAAACCAACACATCAGTTTTGTTTCTCATCGAATATAACCAAGTAACACATAAAAAACAATAAATGAAAGTCACAAAATATCTATAGTCATTCATCGAAGTTGTAAAACAAGCTCATATATCTGAATGCACCAAATCAAAAACATATGAACTTATTTTACCAGAACTGACATAAGTTCCCGGTATGCTTACCAAACTCAAAAGCATCAAAAACAAGTTTTTGTTTATTTTTCTTCTCAGACAAAGACGAATACAAACGACTTAAAATGCTAAATGAAGAGTGTCCAATGTGCTTGTGATGTTGTAGCAATACATCATCCACACTCTTCCCAGATCCTCCTGCTACATCACTCTCTACCATGGATATTCATGTTGAGTCCATTCCCTCTAGAGTCCACTATGCCACGTGCTAATCTCAAGTCTCTGGCTAGTCTCATTCTCTTAAAGGATCACCTTAAGAACATGAAAGAAAACAACACATTTTAATGGGAGAATAATGAAACTAATGGATAAAAGATTTACTTGAAAGGAATGAGCATGCAAATCATTGAACAAATGCATAGAATTGGTACATCTCACTTTATCCTTTTCAAGCACAGAGTGTGTTGTATCATTAGAGATCTGAATGCAATTTGGAACTGCTATACGAGTTTAGGAAGCGAACTCACTAACGTTACCTACCATATGCGAGATGCACTGGAATCTACTATCCATTCTAGTAATCTTATGGTGGATATAGAGGAAAGATAATGTGTATGATGAGTACCTTTTCTTGAGTGTACATAACCCCTTTGATGTCGATAAGGCGGATGCATCCTTAATCAAATCACCTACTGCTCTCTATTCCTCTTCAACATCTCTAGGACATCTCGATCCTCATCAGTTTGCAGCTCCCTCATTCTTCGCTACCATCAAATTTGTCCGGTTGGCCCCTTGTCCACCCCTTCAACCCCTACATTTACGACCATGACCTCTAGACTGTCAATGTCCACACGTTTCTCTCTACTTAGGTGGTTTTGGACAAGCTTGCTCAGTTGTCCCACTTCTCCATAGTTGTAGCATCTGTGGGTCTCCCTCTGAACACTTGTCATACCTTCAGCGAGGCGGTCAAAGCTGATCGCATATTTGGAAGTACTCTCAACTCAGAGTACAATCTCATGCGACTTTGTTGTATCATCTCGACGATGGCCTCATCCAGTGAAGAAATTGTTGTCTGGGCTAGGAGGACCGATCTCCTCTAATCAAAGGCTTAGTTCAGATGAGCTAGAAACTGTATAGTCCTGATATGTGCAAAGATCTCTCCCTTCTTGCACCCCAGATCACCACAATTTGACATAGGTGAGAATTGATCAAGATCTTGCCACAACTAAATCCATCTTTCATCATGAACCACTGTTTCTATTCAACGTTGAATCTGGAATACACTCATATGGTTCTCAGCTCCAGCATAAATCTTATTGAGCTTTGTCAAAATGCTGCTCATCTTTCGAATGACATCCATTGATGAGGCAATCCATGAAACCATCGAGTTGAGTAGCTAGGTGTAAAGCAAGACATTTGTGGTTCTCCACTAATCCCTCTCAACACTGTCCCTCTTTGGCTCGACTCTCGTCAGGTATCTTTCTAGTCTCTTCCCTAATAGAGCAGCCCGATACGATCAACTCAAATACGTTTGCGATCCATTGAGCTTCGAATCCACAAGAGGGAGATCTAGCTTAATCTGCGTCAGAGCACTTGTTGGGGTAGTGGCTCTCGTCGTGACGCTAGCTCCCTATATGTTCCCAACCATGATCTTTAGAACTTTAGGATCCATCTTCACCAAAAGTTTCAATCCCTTAATCTATCTCTGACTCTTGACATTTATAATCACAAGGATCAAGTTTAGATCACACGCGATTTCCTTTCTCCAAGTTCATGCGATCCACTTTGCCTTAGCCCGCACAAGGCTGCACCCCCTCTGTTTCGCACGCAAAACTACAACCGCTTCTATCCTTCGCGATTTCCTTTCTCCAAGTTCATGCGATCCACTTTGCCTTAGCCCGCACAAGGCTGCACCCCCTCTGTTTCGCACGCAAAACTACAACCGCCTCTATCCTTCGCCTCCCTATCGTCGAGTGCAACTCCAAAAATGAAGGAACTGCTCCATTGCCTTCCTCACTTTCTAGTCTTAAGCAAGTTTGAGCTGACCACTGCCTACTTAGACCACCTAAGCTGCTCCTGCCTCCCTGTTTTGAAGTCGAAGCCTCCTCTGTTAGCTTTGATTGCAACTGTTTCGCTAAGACAATGCCGCTGTTAGAGATTGGGACTGCTTCTCCAAGACGAAACCTATCCGATCGTACTCGCCGTGGCTGCTTCACGAACCCGGCTTGTTCATCGATGTTGCTTCACGATTTCGAGGACGACGCCGAAGAAGTTCCACGGATCGAGCAAGAGGCGGTAGGTTCGCGCCCTCATACCAAATTGATATGTTTTTGCTCAATAATCTCTTCTTTTCATGAAAGACTTTGGCTTATATATAGTCTTGCAAGTTTCTATACAAATAAAACCTTTGACATCTATATTTCCCATTTACAAATAGGACCCTAAATTCCATTCAATTCTCAACAGCTTTAAATCCTTCTTGTCATCATTATTATTTAATTTAGCAAGAAAAAACTTGTTAGTAATAATATTAGAATTATTATTTCCTTTTAACAATTTTAAATCTCTTCTATTATTATTTTCTTTTTAACAACTCACAATAAGATTTACATACTTACCACTCAATTCTTTTGTATTTACATATCTGACACTTAAAATTCAATTTTTATATACATACCACCTTTCCTATGCGTGAAAAAACTTTATTTCACTTTTTAAAAGTTAAAATGGTGATATTTTTTATGTGACATGAAAGATTTGCATGGTATAAATTTAATAATTAAATCTTAAAGATATGTAAATACTTAAGAATTGGGCGGTTTGTTAGTAAATGCCCCTTGAATTTTTCCTGGTTGTTAACTAGCTAAATTCTTAACAGAAGGCCATTACACGACAATGTCATCAGTTCTTTAGGGCAAGTTGAAGCTTTTTAACATGACCGTAGTGATTTGAGGGGATGCTATCAGCTACCATAATTATCAAGACTAATAAAAATAAGTTTTATAGGTGTTAATATTTGTGGTTTAGGAATACAACTATAGCTTCCGAATTAGGCTAGATCTGATTGCTTTAAATCACTCAAAATTGAAGTTGTATAGCTATAAATATTTGTATTTGAGCAAACTTTGCATATGCTCACTTAACATCTTTTTTAATGCAACTTTATTCCATGCATTGCGAAGGGGCCCTTGTTAGTTTCATTTCATCAGGCTTTATCTAAAACATTGTCCTATTGCTAAGCAACTGCTATATACTTCATTCACTTTCTTTTTTTTTTTTGGTAAGATTTACAGACAAACCACTCAATTCTTATGTATTTGCATATCTAACCACTAAACTTCAATTTTTCATGTATGCCACCTTTCCTATGCATGAAAAGGTGTATTTCATATTTTAAAAGTTAAAATGGTAAAAGTTATGATGTGATATGAAAGATTTTGGTGGTATATGAAAGATTTTGGTGGGTGGTATAAATGTAAAAAATAAACTTTAGGTGTTAGATATGTAAATACATAAGAATGTTGTGGTAAGAATGTAAATGCTCTCCATTTTTTTATCGACGTCTGTTCTTGTTTTAAATTTTCAGACATTAACCTTGGAGCAAGAAGCATACCCTGCTCTGGACGAGTTGACGTCAAAAATCAGCACACTTAATCTCGAGCGTGTAAGGCAGATAAAGTCCCGCCTCGTTGCAATTTCTGGACGTGTGCAGAAGGTCTGAACCAAGAAATTCTGAAATTCATTTTTCACTAAGAAAAAAATCATTTGTTGGTATACGAAAATGTGGGCTATAACTATAAATTGGGAAATTTACATACCTAGCAGTAGCACACAGTTCTTATAACATTTATATTTCTCACAGCTAAACCTTCATATTTACATGCATAGAATGCTGTAAACCTATACATGAAAACGTGCATTTTGCTTTTTAAAAGTTGTAATAGTGCTATCTTTAATGTGATATATTAAGTATTTGAATGCTATATGTGTAAATATGAAATTTTAGGTGTGATATATGTTAATACATTAGAATCGTGTGATATGTATGTAAATTTTCCTTGTAATTGCTCTAAAGCTCTTCATGTGTTGTGTTATCAGTATATAGATGTCTATAATTGCTTTTGTGTAAACATTGTGTATGTGGCTCAAATGTGATTATGCATCTTTTGCATATTTCATTTTATCTCATCATGCAGAGAACACTTATGATATTTGATTTAATCAATTGGCACCAATATTTATTGTTGTTTAGTTTAGATTTAATGAACTTGAATCCTGTAATTTTGTAATATGTGCATTGTTCTCACCTAATAGGTAAGAGATGAGCTGGAACACTTACTGGATGATGACATGGATATGGCCGAAATGTATTTAACTGAGAAACTGGCTCATCAACGAGCTGGTGAAACCTCTTCGAGAGCTGATATCGGAAATGTTGAGCTTGAAATGGATGATGACGGGTAAGCAAAGTTGTTTTCTTTGCCTCTTATTGTAATTCAAGTAGGCTAGGTGAAGAAAAGTTTGAGAAGGAATAATCTGAAGAAATTTCTGTTGTAGATCTTGCGTAGAATGTTTTCCTAGAACTAAGTCCTTTTAATTTCACCTATAGCTGTGTTAAACAATGCATTAATGCTAATTGTAGTAACAATGCTCTTTTTTTAATACCTTTTTGTTCCTCCACTCTTGAAATTCCGTGTGTTACTTATATTTTTTTGCAATATGAGGCAGTTATATCTTTAAATGACCGAAAACCCATGTGGAAATGTATGTTCTTCGACATAGATGCTAGAAGGCTGATCATAGCATATTGACAATTGTGCTTGTATTAACCATGTTCATCGTGTTATGTTTTTTATAAAATGTGGTAGTACGTGTATTGTATTATCTTTTTGTCAAGTCTAAGACAATAAGTGAATATCCTTTTATTTTTATGTTTACTTTATCTATTAACTAGGAATTTTATGTCAGGATATGATCTTGGATGCTTTAGAGTTTAGGAATTCTAATGCGAAACTAATTTGTGATATGAAAAATCATGCACCCAAAATTCAAATTTCGTTAGACACTAGCTATCAAGCTAAACTATTGACTAAATTTAATGAAACTTGGAAAATGATAAACTCCAATTGAAAACAAAGTTCTATTGACTTATACTAGTAATGACTGGATTAAGGAGTAATATACTAATATGGTCATTCATACGGTTTAAGTTCTTACAATCGATAGAAATCCTAATTGCAACTATATATATATAGAAATCATCTGTTTATGGAACTAAGTGATGTAGTCCAATAAAAACCACCCAAATCCTTGCCTTAACCTCTATCATTTTGTTCTCGTGTTTGATGGGCTATAATTTCTGCAGGACAACCGTGAATTGTTTCGTAGTCGTTATCAGGTCGTGATTCCTTGCTTTCCACATTTTACTATACAAATGTAGGAATAAATAGCTTCAGTCTAGTGAAAGCAATTTTTTTGGCATGGTTACCTAAAAAAGGATTGGGAAATTTACATACATACCACACAATATTTATGTATTTACTTATCTAACACCTAAAGTGATACCGTTCTAGTGCTCCTAGAAGGTGTTGTGGAAGCGGATTTTACGGGAAGGTAATTGTGAAATGAGAAGGAAATAAAAATATGGGCGTTCGACAATGTTTGGTTGGGGATAGATGACATTTGACTGTAGTCCTGACTAAAAACAACAAAGAACCCTGAAAAGACGATATATGGATGGTGAGGAGGTTCACCACCCATTCCTAAACAAGCAATAGACACATCACTTACAAAAAGAAAATGATTCAAGACTCCTTAAAGTAGAAAATAGAAATTGCAATCTCCTAGTATTTATTAGTACTTATGAGAAGAGTTTAATTTAAACTTAAGCTTCATTATCAATCTCCTAAATTACTCAAAATAAAGCAAATGTCTCAAATACAACAAAGTACATGCATAAATAGTCTCATAATTGAAAGACCCCTAATTAAAAATAATAAAATAAGAAAAAAATTAAAAGTATCAGGATAGAAATCGGGATGGTTCACTAGTCTTTTGAATGTGGGGTCTTGATTCTGTGTATCACGGAATCCCTCACCGCGACAATTCTACTATTGCTATTTTGCTCTAGCTCTCGCACCAATCTCCCTAGCTAGAAGATGCTTATTCTTCTTCTCTGTAGGTTTCTGGAATCAATCTACCACCCTAACAAAATCATCGATGCATGCTATACCTAATGGAGTCATTTCAAAGCATGTCTTGATAGAATAAATAGTCGTCGCCTTGCTATACCTAATGGAGTCATTTCAAAGCATGCCTTGATACAACTATTTTATATATATATATATATATCTTAAAAGAATGGCCAGAGGCTATTATACGAGCCTTCAACCACCCCTAATGTGCCTAATATTTCGAGTACCACCTCCTTAAGGCCAACTATGCCAAAGGAGATTCGAACTCCCGACTTGAGGGGTCATATACCGTGGATGCCAACCAACAGGTCGGGGCACGTGGCGCGCACACACACACACAAACACACTCACAGACATACATATATTTATGTGTGTGTGTACTATTATGATTGAAATCTCGATCCTTTAAATATGTCACGTCTCCCATTCTTCATATATGGTTGGGCGCTTCAGATAAATAAGCTTGTTTGGAGGAGTCGACCCTAAAATGAAGTCTTTGATATGTTGAACCACTCTTAGCGGCAACTACCCATGAGGTAAATTGTTAGTCGGATTATTTGATAACTCTTGCAACAAGGGCTGTTTTTTTATGTCGACTTTTTTGACTCACTACCTACTAAGACAATCAATGTTAGCTTGGTTGGAGTCTCTCTCGTGGGCTTAGCTTGAATCACTAACATCTCTCCCTCATCGGCTGAAAGTTGATACTCCTCTCCAACGTCTTCATCATCTCTTGTGTCACTGTCCATTTTTTCAATTGTTCCCTACTCAGTGAAAGAGATCATCGTCATGTTCGGACAATCAGATGCAATGTGCCCAAATCATGACATTTGAAACAGAAACTCTTCTTGGTTGTGATGAAATTAGGAGCACCGGTGGCCACCTTTTCTCTAATATGTACAAGTTTCTCCTCTAATAGGTTCGGCTTGGATACTCAACCAGATGCACTTTTACTGCCTGATCGTGGGGTTGAACTCTGCTTGTGGGGGCTGGTTTTCACCTCGTGATATTTTTTTTTATCTTCAAATTTAGGAGATGAGAATGCTTTGGGGATGAGTGGCTTGACATTTGGAGACAATGTGAAATGAATATATACGTGATAGTGTCGGTGTAGCTCATGTGGTGAACAAAATTAGAGAGAGTTGTTTTAGGTGGTTTGGTAACATTAAACGTCGACCATCTGATGATCCGGTTAGAAGAGTATATGTTTTAGATTCGGCTTTTGTTATGAAAGACAGGTAGATCTTAAAAGACTTGGGCATATTGTATAAAAAATGATCTTAATCTATAAAAATTAAATGAAAATATGACACTCAATAGGAAACAATGAGAAAAATGATTCACGTAGCTGATCCCACTTAGTTGTTGTTGTTAAAATTTAGGGTATGTACATCGAGCAGCTACACCATATCACTTGTAGTAATTTGAAAAGAATTTGACTCGCTCTACGTCATTCATTACACCTTGTTATACATATAATAATGAAAGACAATCAAATAGGATTCCCTCCAAAATTAGAAAATAATAGAAAAGAAAAAAATCTAATAAATGACTCAATTAGTGAAATATATTGTAAGGAAAGGAAATAAGTTACTTTCTAATGTAGATTGACACTTTTCATTGCTCCCTCCCAAGTTAAGTTGTATATATTATACAAACCAAGCTTAAACTGTAATTCATGACGATGATTTAGTGAGAATATCAATAGTCTGAAGTTGTGCAGGATCATAGTTGAGCTGAATAGTTCCATTATTAACCTTTTTTGGGATGAGTGTTAGGCAATCTCTGTGTTTTATTCTGTCATGATGCACAAGATTTTTGGCTATCTAATGTCAGTTTGGCTATCACTGAACATTTTAATTTGGTCTTGCATCTTAATCTTAAGTTCCCTTAATAGCATTTGAATCCACATTATCTCATACATTCTTAGCGCAAGAGCACGATATTTAGATTTTGCAGTAATCTAAGAGACGGTGGCTTTCTTTCTATTTGTTTATGTGACGAGATTGTCTTGACGTATGAACAATATCCGATGATTGATTCCTATTATTTACCTCTCCTGCCCAACTAGCATTTGTGTACATCTCAATCTCGCGGTTTTCAGATCTTTTGAAGAGAGCATAATTAGGGGTCATCTTGAAGCATTTTGGGATTTTATTCACTGCTTTCAAATGATATTTATTTAGATTATTCATGTGCTGGATTACTATAATGATTATGCAATATTAGGTCTTGTTTGTGATAGGTAAAGAAGTTTGCCCGCAAATGTTTGATATCTTCTTTTGTCAACAGGACAACTTTTTTATTATATTCAACATTTTGTTGGAATCAATGGGTGTGTCAATAGATTTACACCCAAGCATACCATTTTCACCTAACTGATCTAATATTTACTTTCTGTGGGATATGAAAATTTATTTCTTAGATCGAGCCCTCCATTCCCATAAAATATCTGAGATTCCCGAGGTCCTTGATCTCACACTTTGTTACAAACTTCCTTTTTATTATAATAATTTCCTTTGAATCATTACTTATCAAGATAATATCATCTATATATACAATGAGAATAATACATTTGTATCTAATATTAGATTTAACAAACAGTGCTTGATCAACTTGACACCAATGATATCAATTTGTAATCATAGTCTTAGAAAACCTGTCAAACCAAGTAAGAGAAGATTGCTTCAAGTAATATAAAGATTTCTTTAACTTGCAAAGCAACTTGTTGTTCGATCTATTTTCCAAATGTGGAGGTATAGTCATGTGGAGCTCATCAAGGTCCTCATTGAAGGAGGCATTTTTTGATATCTTGTTGTTATAAAGCCCAATCTTGGATTACTCCAAGAAAAATTAGAACCTAAACAGTAGTAAGCTTGGCAATAGGCATAAAAGTGATTGTCATGATCAGAGGGGTTATGGTTTTATTTAGTAGTTGATCGGTGGAGCAAGTATGCACATTTTAGTTCATTATGACACGCTTACACTGCTGTCTAAGTCGGCACGGTGTTCATACGGGTAGTGGTCCGTTTGCATGCTCTTCCATAATCTATCATATCAGATAGTGTTCCTCATCCACTTATGTAAGGAACTATTCAGGTTACAAGGGACCTCCTAAAGAGGAGCACATCATATCATCCCTAGACGGATGTCGAGACAGAGGTGGTCAACAAAAGTGTGGAGACATACCCTATTTGTTTTGTAACAGATACGCCAAAGCTTTGGGCCAAGAGGATTTCTTGGACAAAGTATTAGTACAATACTTTGTACCATACTGCGATACAGACCAACCCTTTCAAGATTCTGTATAGGCTGGATCCATCCCACCTGATAAACTATGAGCATATTAGTGCACTGATATCTAATGTAAACCAGTACTTGGAGAGAGAGACGAGATATTGGCGGAGCTCAAGGGACATATGGTAAGGCCCAACAGATAATGAAAAGGAAGGTAGATAAACATAGTAGGAGGCATAATTCGAGCCTGGTTTAGGGTTTATTTGAAGCTGAGAATTTATTAGCAGAAAATCTTGGCTAGGAGCAAGAAATTTTCTTTTTGGATCCTATGAGACTGCAACACACATTGGGGTGGTGGCCTGCCGTTTGAGGTTACGATCATCATCATTGCATCTATTCTTACATACATCACAGTTGAGGTGTGCCATCAGAGATCATACTCCATCATCTTCACTACCTCTGATGTTGACAGAGGACATGGAGGTAATTCTAGAATCTTTGGAGGTCAAAGGAGTGCGTCGAGGATTGGTTGGAGCAAATGAAGTACTGATCACTAGCGTCAAGCTGATGTGGAGTAGAGACAATTGGGGCAGTTTTAGTGGCAAAGTTTGGTTCTTCAAGTGGAGTTGGTTGAGTGGTCGGTTATTCGGTAGAGGATTGTGGTACTTTTCCAGAAATGTAACCATGACCTAATATTTTCTGCAGTGTCTCAATTTGTTCCCCGACAAATGGACTGAGTTATGCATTATTGTTGGTTGTGATAGTAGTATTTGCACGGTTCTCCCTATCATGTCTTCCATTGGATGACTTCCAATCTATAGGTTTTCAGTGTAATTTCTAATATTTTTTTTCTTTACATGACCAAATTTCTTATAATGATCGCACTATGTTCGTCATTTCCTGGGCTTATTATTCTAAGAGGAGTTGTGAGTGTACAAGGTCACCCTTCAGCAGATGATGTGTTATGATTGTCTGTCATTATTAACTTCTTTCTCTTTTCCTTCCTTCGAACTTCTGCAGCTGCATCCCGAATGGTAGGAAGGGGTTTAATTCTCTTGATTCTCCCCATGACGTCATCTAGGTGTTTATTGAGGCTAAGAAGGAATTTGATGGTCTTCTTTGGTTCAATAATTTCCTATACAAGGCAAAGTCATCAGGGCATTTTCAGGAATAAATCTCATACATGTCCAGTTACAACCAACAAAGTGTGAGAGTGTTGAAAAATTGAGCAACACTCAATTCCCCTTGTCGTAGATCATGTAGTCCGGTCTCAATATCAAATACCTCCCAGGCGTTTTCAGTATTAGAGTAGGTCCCACGTACAACCTCACATATCTCCTTGGCAGTCCTATAAAACAGGAAGTTTTCTCCAATCTCTATGGTCATGAAACTTATTAACTATGACATAACCAAGTGAAAGTTAGTTTTGTAGACTCAATATTTAGATTCTATCATTTATGGAGCCGAAATTTCATCTGTAAAATGTCCATCTTTCCCTCTCCCGCAAACGTGCATGAAGATGGACTGTGACCATTGAAGAAAATTATGGCGATGCAGTTTATGGTTAGTAAATAGATGTGATGAGTTATCAAACACAATACGTAAGATGTTTGGCTCAGATCTTGATTTACAAGCTCAACAAAATTGTATGGCAAGACGAGTGTTAAATCCTGCTAAATCCAGATAAACTACTTGATTGTTTATTTCAGAATTTAAGATTTACAAGAGGGATAAATCTTAGTTCGTTAAATTCTATGAATGTTGGTCCCAAGTCTGAATGAGAACAGATGACTATTTTTTCATAATTTAATTTTCTTATCAGCATTTATCGTATTTTTCATATCATAACATTGGCGAGAAGAAATTTTTAAAATTGCCAGTGTTGGTCATTAGCCCTGACGAAAAGGTTGAATGTTTTTTGTAAAATTTTAGAGTGTGCCTCCATTAAGAATGTCTGTATGCTAATTTGTAATTTCTTTTGTACGTTTTATTTTCTCAGAGATGAAGATGCCAAAACTGAAACAGAAAGCACCTCCGGAGGATTAGGTGGTTTCAAGCTTAACATTGAGGAATTGGAGATGCTTTTAGAGGCTTACTTTGTTCAGATAGATGGCACCCTTAATAAACTCTCTGCGGTATGCTATATTTCCTTTGAAGATTTTGATACATACCACTCAATTTCTATGTATTTACATATCTAACATCTAAATTTCATTTTTTAGAAGTGTCAAAATAGTGGTATTTTTTATGTGCTATGAGAGATTTGAGTGGTATAAATGTACAAAATTAAACTTTAGGTGTTAGATATGTAAATACATAGGATTGGGTGGTATGTATGTAAATTCCCCTAATTCTTTTATGGGGCTGATAAGCTTCTCTAGATTTTAGCCTTTATCTTTTAATATATAATATGGAATTTCTCTGTTTAAATTAGAGCTAATAGCAAAGCGAAAGGCCCTAGATAGGGATCTTTCTGTTGAGTTGTTCTTTGGTGGTTGTGGATGTGCCGTTTACTCGGGGACTCAAATCTTACATTTATGAGATTTTTCATTAAGGGTGCTTTTAGAAGGTCACTTTATTTTCTTACTGCCCTTTTTCTATTTTTTTAAATATTTTTTTCAAAAAAGGGTGCCATATTTAGTTTATGTTGGAGATACTAGGACTGTAAAAACTCCAACTATCTATCTATCCATCCATCTATCTATATATATATATATATATATATATAGTGAAATCTATAGTGATGGCAGACGGGCGCCATCCATTAATTGGGTGAATGAGTAAAATTATGGTATTTTTTGTGTGTTGATCTATCTTATATTTTCAATTTATTTTTCTCCGATGTTGAATAGGTCTCACCTGATTCCCGGCATAACACTTGTATCATTGTGCTTCTGTGGTTGCTTTCGTGTTTCTTATGATGTGATGGCAATAGATTTGTTGGTCAAGCATTAGTCTTACTACATTGTTGGCCCTATTATTTTCATAAGAAAGCATTTTATCCGTTAATTCCATGCATAAATGCTTACTATTAATAGAGAAAAGTGTCAAAATAGTCTTAGTGATTTTTTGCAGTGGGTCATTTTAGTCTCAAAGTCTATTTAAGTATTAATTTAGCCCCAGACTCTTTTAATATGATTGTAACAGTCCCCAAAGAGCACTATCTCAGCTTCAATTAAAAAAAATTTGAGGATTAGTTCGACATTTTTATAAATTATGGGACTAAAATGACCCCATGTAAGCAGTCAGGGGACTATTTTGTCACTTTACTCGTCATTAATAGAAAATATTGGCTCATGTTCTTCTCATATGTCGCACTTATTTCATTTTCACAGGTCACAAGGGAATTTTTTTGATATCGTTAAGGAGCGTTGCTCTACGTCTAAGTTCCCGCCATATATTATTTCGTTCTTAGAACTGTCCCATGGAGGATTTTAGGAGCTTTCCTGGTTACTTATTTACCGTTGCATAAGCTTTTAGTAAAAGTGTGCATTTTGCATTAACCAAAATAAAAGAAATTATAAAAGCTACACAGAAAAATTCATGTAATTGGCATCGGCCTCCACTACACTCAAAAAATTGGAGTCACAAGTGTGAGCATCCCAAACAAAAGGCCTATCCAAAGCTTAGTCGAGAACAAAAATGGATAGCTATATTTGAACAAAAAAGAAAAGAACTTGCTTGAATTTAGTAAGAATAGTTATATTAGCCCCGATGCCAGGTTGTTGTCATACCTTACTTTCACCGAAAGAGTTGATGATCATCTCATTATCTCCTTCTATGATGATCCCTTTGGTTTCATGCCTCCAAGAGTACCAAGAAAAAGGATCGCTTCATATTTCACTTGCGACCTATCCCAATGCATTAATCAAAGCTGGCCTCGTGATGGTGACAAGGAGGTGACATCCCAAAGGGCCGAGAGGTAGTGAAAAGCCTTCACTGGAGTTAGCGACGAAAGAATGGTAGTAACCATCACGGCTGTAGTTCCATGCAAGCGGTTATGCTTTTTGGCACTATCCGCACGCCAATTTTGATAAACTGCGTGACAGTGAGATCCGCCTATCGCCATCAGTAGGCATAAGCTTCCTGGTTACGTGTTTACTATTGCATATAGCTCCTTGTTCTGTTCTTTGAATTTATCTTTAATGCATGAAGGTTCATAATGTTTTCTTAATTTAGTTAGCGGGATTTACATACATACCACACGGTTCTTATATATTTATATTTCTAACCCAAACTTTTTGATATCTACTAATCTGTTATATTTCGTTGTGACCGCGAGACAACCATAGAATTCTACTAGACAATATTGAAGGTTCAGTATCAGAGCTGAAGTACATAAGACATGTGTGGGATGTATGTAAATTTGCTTTTTAGTTGAGCAATGATATTCATACTACTATTCTTTTATTCAATAAAAATGCTATATTCTTCTGATAGTTCCACATTTAAATTTTTTTCCGTTTGACACAGCAGTCATTCTACTCTGTTATTTCAACAAAGCATATGGTATTTCATGCAGTTCCCACATAAAATTATTGGGGGCATTTACCTACATGCCACCCAATTCCTATTCATTCACATATCTAACATCTAAACTTTACATTTTTACATTTGTACCTTCCAAATCTTTCATATCACATAAAAAATACCACCATTTGAACTTGAAAAAAAAAAAAATGTAAAATACATGCATTCACATATCTAACATCTAAACTTTACTTTTTTTACTTTTGTACCTTCCAAATCTTTCATATCACATCGAAAATACCACCATTTTAACTTAAAAAATTAAAAAAAAAAGTAAAATATACTTTTTCATGCTTATGTAAAGTGATACCTAAAAATTGAAGTTTAGGTGTTAGATATGTAAATGCATAGATATTGATTGGCATGTTTGTGAATCCTCCAAAATTATTTTGTGCTCGGTGAAAATCATCTTGTAACCACTTTCATATTTGACACCCAATACCAAATTTGAACCTTGAGTTAATCAGTCTTAGAAGGTTGACATTATCCAACTCAAATAAATCCACATTTAAACTAGTACCATTCCCGCTGTTTCATAAAAAGCTGACGTCGCACCAATAGCTGCTGCACTTTTTTGACCTGTACGAAAGTCCAAGAAATTCATCTCATAATGCAGTTTCTAAGTCACAATCCTGACTAATTGGGTTTAAAAATCATAAGGAATGGAAGAATATAGATTCGGTATGGATAAAGTGCAAGATAAATATTTCATTGTCAATGATTTCAATAAAAATCAATTGGCTGATGAGAGTAATATGGACTTTCATGTTAAAAAAAATTCAAATATTGATGATTTGTTATGTTATTATTTTAAGTGGGATGAGTGAGAGAGAAAGGTATATGTTGAACTTATTTTGATTGTTATGTTTTGATATTTTAATTTTTTTTTAATATCTTTTTTTTTTTTTGATATTGTAATGTTTGTAGAACCCATTTTATTTCATAATTTGATAGGATATTGACATTTTATTTTTAATTTTATGCAATTTATTATGTTTTTACATAGTTAAAGTGTTATATTTCTTTTTAATGTGTTGATAAGTTAGAATATTAAGTTGTTATTTTCTTACTTCACATTTTGTAGTTTATATAATAATTATTAATTTGCATTTTTTTTTTTTTTAAATATGAGTCTTATGCCTCAAAACACATTGAGGCTTACGTTTTGTCTTGCGATGGAAAAACACCTTAGTATCCAATTACATAATTTTAAATCTTAATTTCTAAGGCATAATCTTCGAACCAAAGGCTATATTCATGTTCTTAATGTATTAGTCATATTGCAGCTTCGGGAGTACGTTGACGACACCGAGGATTACATCAACATAATGCTCGACGAGAAGCAAAATCAACTGCTCCAGATGGGCGTTATGCTGAGCACCGCCACTCTGGTCATCACCGCCGGCGTCGTCGTGGTCGGTATATTTGGCATGAATATCACCATCGAACTCTTCAATGTCCCAACCTTTCACCAGTTCTGGGAGGCCACCGGGGGCACCGTCGGCGGCTGCCTCATTCTTTACATTCTGGCAATTTGCTGGGGCAAGAAGAGTGGACTTCTCCAATGAGAATGGAAGCAACCCTGCAACCATTTAAACTTCAGAAAATGAGGTCAGACATTTTTAACTTAACTATCTTGTGAGGTAAAGTTTACCAGTGCGGTTAAGCTATCATTAATATGGGATCTATAATGCGTTTAATGTGACCCTTTGGAATACAAACTGATATTTATTTGTCTTTGAGCGCTGACATTTACATGAATCTAAATAATTAGTGCATTTTTTTTATAGTGCTTCTTTTCTGAATTTGATTTGTTATGTGAGCTTCTAATAGCTATAGGAGTGTAAGAGAATTAGGGCCCGTTTGGGGCAGCTTATAAGTGCGGGGGCGTTTTTGAGCAGACCGCGGGTCGAACCCCTCAGTCGACCTGCGGGCCGCGTTTCAGGATAAGCTGCTTACTTATCCTGAAACACACAAGTTGCCGCAAACGCATCCTTAGTGTGTGCATGATGAACAAATTGATGTTTATTGATCAAGTAATTGAATAAGTTCACAATATATACCACACAATTCTTATGTATTTTTATATCTAACACCTAAGCATTCATATTTATATCCATGTCACTCAAAACTTTAACATTAAATCAAATATATAATTATTGTTTACTTTTTAAAAGCAAAAAATATTGTTTTTATGCATGGATATATGACACCAAAATTTTATAAGTGTAAATATACAAGTGCATAAGAAAAGTGTGGTTGTATGTAAATTTCTCTAAAATTTAAAAAAATAGGGAAATTTGCATATACACCACATAAATTTTTAATATTTATATATCTTACATCTAGACATTCATGTTTACCTTTATCACACCTTAGTGTCATAAATATTTGCATGAAAATGTGCATTTCACTAAAAAAATATATGATCTTGATATTTTAGATGTGATTTTAAATATTTGAATGGTATGCATGTAAAGATGAATATTTAGGTGTAAGATATGTAAATACAATAAAATTGTGTGGTACGTATGAATGTGAACATTGACATGCTCCGTCAGCAATTTGCAGTTTGACAAAATGGTGATTTAGGATTCATTTGGGGCCGTCAATCATCACCACCGCACAAAAGTTTTGTCTGTTTGGGTAAATTGAGATTTGATAGTTTTTTCAAAAAGCTCCCGCTGAAAACTGTGTTTCCCACCACTCCTGGCTATGTGCGGTAGTAGCTTTCTAGCCGCGGTTTGACTTTAAAGAAAAAAAATTGTAATTGTCACCGTAGCTTTTTGAGCATCAGATTATTATGTTTTTTTAATGAGTTACAACTATCTCAAACAGACCCTTAATTTAATTATGGCTTAACTATTTATTTAATGATTTATTTCACATTACTTTGTATATCATTTCTCATTTAAAAATAGTGTAGACCATTCCAAATTTGAATATTGTGTCAATATCAAACAAATATTTAAATATATAGATTAAAATTGTTATTAATGAATATTTGAATTTCATAAAAAAAAATTAAACGGTAATTAATGAATACTGTTGAATTTAATTAAAATTTATAATTTCATATATATTTGCTCGGAAATGTATATTTATTATTAGGAGTATTAAATATAGAATTAATTATATTTGATTAAAGCTCTGGTCAATGAGCTTTGAGATCATGTTCATGAGAGACGGGTTGCAGATGAGATGGTGGTTAGATAATTAAAGCCCCTTCAACTTTTTGATCAAGGCTTGCTAATCTTCAAAAAAAAAAATATTATTATTATTATTATTATTATTATTATTATGAATATTGATATTAATAGTTTCATATTATAGTTACACATGGCAATTGTGTATATATATATATATATATATATATAATAAAAAAAAAATAGTATTTAGCAGAGGCCCAAATACTGTTTTCCCATGCGCTAGGCCCCATGATGGAAAAATTATTCCGTGCGGACACCGCATGCAGAGTTACATGTGGTGTCCGATCTCCACTGTCGATCACCGCTTCAATGGGATTTTTTTTTTAAAAATAGAAGTGGGTCCCACCGAAGCGGTGATCGACGACCGTACGGAATAATTTTTCCCCATGATGAGAGTTGCGTTATGTGCCTAAATATTCAAGAACCCAACGCCACTGGGGATCGAACTTGTGACCCGAGGGGACTTACAGTGAACCCCGCCAACCAACTGGCCATAGATTGCAGTGCGGCCATAGATTGCAGTGCGCGCCCTAGCACACACAAATATATATATATATTATAAAATATAAATCTTAAATTTTCTAAAAAATTATCAAAAGAGAAGATAAAATATATACTTCCACCAACAATTAAAATAGGAGCATACCTCCATATATCTTCAATAAAAATTCTATTTATTTGATAATTTAATTTGATTATAATAGTTCCAATATTAGTGAATTTATAAATTGGACTATTTCTAATGGCAATCTTTTCATCATCCACATTTTTATATGATTCAAATAAGTCCATTCATTAATATTAAAATACATCCTAACAATAAGTATTTAAACTCTTTAAATTTTATTAATGAATTAGAAGCATTTAAACTAATTAACTTTTTATTAATATTCACCTTGATTAGCGTTGTTTAAATCAAGCATATCTTGTTAAAATCATTTACACTATTATTTAAAATCTTTACTATAAACTTTATTTGAGAGTAATATTTTAATATTTATAAATCATACTTTTTTCCTTATAAATAATATTGTTGTGTGGCGGCCGAGGTAGGGTGATAATTTAACGTCTTAGTATTGTATGGATATCTATCACACGTATAATTTGAAATTAGTAGAATGAGAGAATAATTTTTTTTTTTAATTTTAAAAACTTCTGAAAAAATCACAGTCTAGATAAAGTAATCCAAGATAAGCATGTAAGTATAAAGATACACTTTTTTTCTACAATCCGGAGAGCGGAGTTATAATTTTACACCAAATACAATGTAGGAAAAAGTTCATGAGTCTAGAGAAATGCATCATATTCTAAATACGGCAGTCTTAATCAATTGTTGTCGAGAGTTGTCGTCGGATCTTCAATATGACATTATTCGTTATACTGTATTTGGGATACAACATTAGCACACAAAGTTTGGTGATGGTGACGAGTAAGGGAGGCCCAAATTGGTGGATGACGGTTGGTTGGCGGTTACAGAGGTCCAAAGTTATTGTTGAATCTTCAACACGATGTTATTCGTTACACCATATTTAGGATATGCCATTAGTGATTAGAGTTTGCCTGTGGGGGCGAGTAGAGGTGGCGATGGTGGTCGACGACTACAAAGGTCGGAAGTTATCGCTCGGTTTTTAATGCGACATTATTCATTACACTGTTTTTAGGATATGTAGTCAACAAACAAAGTTTACCGGCGGCGACAAGCAAGGGAGATTGGCGGTTGTCGATGACAGCAGACGTGCAATAATCGTAAATGATCAGTGGCTACGAAGATCAAAAGTTATTACTAAGTTTCGGTCCAAAATATCACTTGAATTAGACTTCTCCCTCGTTTAAGTGAAGAGAGTGAGTCTATTAATAGACTTTTGAGTGAGGGGCATTTTGGTTCTTTGGTGAATAACTTTCACAACCACCTGATCAGACAACTCATATTGATCCCCATTGATTATCAGAATTTTTAATGATTTGAGAGTGTTAATGACCTCAGAATTAGGCGAGCTTAGGCTTGCTGGATTCCTCTCATTGAGATACTCAATTTGATTATGAGTATGTGAAATTTGGAGTTCATTTGATCATTCAATTAATGATCTTAAGTCTCCAAATGTGCTTTAATAACTTGATTCGGACTTGATTGGACTTGGATTAAACCAATTTTGGTATCATCAGACTCGTTTTGCCGAGACGATCAGTTAATTAAAACTTGTTGAAATCGAGGACTTCTTTAATACTTAATTTCAATCTAATTTTTTTTTTTTTTTGTTCAAAAACTCTTCGAGATTTGTTCCAAATGATAACATTTAATGATGATGCATCAAATACATATTTTTACTGTATGCATCTTATCAAGTAATTTAATTTTTCTATTTACTGAAAATTAAAATTTCTATTGCTACAATTTCTGATCCTTTTCATTCTAATTAATTAAATTTTTACTTTTTTTAGAAAAAAAAATTGTTAATAATTTTTATTTCATTGATTCTTTTTTAGAATTTGGATAAAATGAAATTCTTCTATCATTAATTTTGCCCTACTGAACATCCATGCTCAACTCATTCATGACATTATTTCATATTCTTCTTATATTAATTTCATGGTTTTTTTTCTGAAAAAGATTTAAGAATTTTCTAATTGTGAGATTAAGCAAGCCTTTTTCTATTGAGTTCAATGAGATTTGTGGTCCTGATGGTTTCACAGTTAAAATTTTCAAGGACTCTTGAGATATTTCTTGGTTCTTTCATTCTCTAAATTGTGAGGAGTTTTTTGAAGAATTGAAGAAAACCCTTCACCCTCTTCATCGGAGGTAGTCTCGCTACAAATCCATAAATCAAAGCCTGGAATCCTATGTGAGAATGATATAATGAGTCTAGCTTGCTGTTGTACACGTTGGTTTTCATTATCTTGCATGTCCCTGCTTGATGATTGCATGTAGCATTTCACATACATCACTTTAGCTCGATCAGCCGCCCTAGCCTAATTGACTGACCAAAGCGGCTCAATCGGTCGCCCTGACCCGATCGATTGATCACTCCAACTTGATCAGCCGCCCTTACCCGATCAACTAATTACTTCGGTTTGATTGGCTATCATGGCTTGACCGACCCTCGTAGGCCGTGGGATTAGGTCGACCACCCCGATCGATCCAATAGGTCGATTGATCAAATTCATTTGCGTTTGTCGCATATGTATTTGCACTGCTTGCATAACATGAATTATGTCCTTGTTTATGTGCACAATTTTTTTTTTAATATGTGATATGTTAAACTCATTGCATGAAAAATCAAATTTTGCCTTTGACATTTGCTTACACTTGGTGTCTCGATGAGCACCAACACTTGTGGTATTATTGCACACAAATACCACCATATGTGTGTGGCTTGCTATTTGCATATCTTTGGTGTGCGGTAGCTAGCAATGCTAGCCCGAAGGTATGTGAATTTTCTAAATGGAGGACATGTCGCCTATCCTCTTATAGCAATACACTTGAATTTTATAAGCGGTTCATGCTGTATGCTCAATTTGGGTCATGCCTCAGAGCCATTGAACCCATTGAGTGCACAATGTGTGCACACTTGATTGCATCACTTCACATGTATCACAAGTTTGTTATTTACATTATACTTGATACTTAGTCTCCTTTCGGCGCCGGTCTTGATCAATCGTACCTCGATCGAGTGATCATGATATGTTGAATCTTCTTGCATACTTGTATGTGCATTGTCTGGTGTCTTGATAGCAAGTTAAATTTGCTAGGTGGGTGATCCAGTGTTGGTTGCGACGCTTTAACGAGTATTGTTTCTAAGTAAATCTCAGTGAGCAATGTGAGTTATTGCATTGGGATCAACAAAAGTATGATTGTGCTAAGATTCTAAGGAATCTAATTTATGTCCCCTTGTGTAATGCGGGCTTGCATTTAATAACATGCTATATTTTTAAAACAACGCAATTAGCAAAATTAGGTCATATGTAAGGCCAACTCTTTTAAAATTCTTTTGGGTGACATACATTAGACCCCTTGAATCCTTGAAACAGGGTCGGAATCGACGACCTCACCAAAGTAATACGAGAGCTTTACCCCTACATCTTTGCACACATTAGATGTTGTGACTAAGACACTACTTGATAGAAGTGTGCTAGACTAGGATTGGGGTGCTTATGTAGTCTTTTTTTATGTCCTGACTTTTGTTCTCTGTTGGTTTCGTTGCCCTAGCCAAACATCTTTTTGTGTGTTTGTTGGGTACGGACTTACCCAATAGTATGTTAGAGGCGGCTTTCTGTGCAAGGAGCCATGCCTTAACACAAATAAAAAAGGGAAGAGCAAATAATAATTTAAAAGATAACATTTTTTGCAGATGTTGCCAAGCTCTCCTTTCGCCATGCATGGCTAATATGTGTTGTATGATAGAAACTGTGCTAACTCTTTTGCAAGTCGAGTTGCTTTTTTCTTACTTTTTCATGTATTTAACTAAAGTCCTTAGGATTGAGTTTGTATGTGAAATAAAATATGGATATGGGTTCCTAGGTGCATGATGCATCAAACCAAGTGATGAGGAACAAGAGCAGCTGATCTTGTTTCGTATCTTAGTTCTGAATTCATATTCATGTATAGAATTAGGATCAGACAGGTATATGAGGAGTTCGTTTGTTTTTCCTGCTTTCATGGGATATGTTGCAGATCCAGTGTTACCAGATTGTTATATATTTTTTATTTGACTGCTTTACTTGTTGCAGTGTGCTTGCCATTTGCCTTTTCTTAGCTTATGGTTTGTTTGGGCTCTTACGAAAATGCAATTTAGGCACTTCAAGGACCCTAAATTGTAAATTTTCTACAAAAATCCTAATAATAAAATATTCAAGATAAATAAAAAATTAGGATTGAAATATCCAAACTTTAAAATGAGCATTTTCTTTTCTAAGTGCTTTTACTTTTCTGCATGACCTTCCGACTTGATTGAAAACAAACATCATTGCATGACTATATCCCAAATCATCTCTATAGGGCCTCTACATTTAAACTTAATTGCAAATAACTACATCATTTTGCATGTCCCAAGGAAGAGCCCCCATGTTCCTTAAATCAACGTGGTCAAGCCTAAATTTCTACATAGGAGATTTTCTAGTATGGCTAGGATGTTAGAGGCTCCCCCAACCCATACAGAGGAGTAAGACCTTTATGGGACGGTTCTAGTTTTGCAGTTGGACACCGTTTCTTCCTACACTTCAGCTGCTTCTTCGTCATTTAATTGATATGTATAAGTCTCATCCTCTACAACATCTACCTCTTAGTGTGTCATATGAACTATAGTTTCATTCTTTTGACCTTAGGGCTACTGAGGTCTCGTTGGACGACATAATGCATGGTTTGCTGACATGGTATCTTTGGTCAGGTTGGGTTGAGTACCTCTATACCAGGTAGACTTAGGGTCTCCATAGCTCAGAATAATGAATCCATTGTATTATGACCTAACTGCTTCTACTTACTTAGGAATTCCTCTTCTTTCCATTAACACATATGAGCCCTGTGGGTTCTCTTGAGATATCATTGATATCGTCTCATGGGACCTACATGCCTGGGTGTTGTTGCCCGTAGTGGATATGTTAGTTCAGCTTTTGCTTTATGGCTTGACATAAGTATTGAAAGCATCATGATTCTCCTACTTGAGATGATTAAAATCCTTTGGGTTTCCTAAATAACCAGATATAATAAATTATGCAAGCAAACCCTTTTTTATCAAGAGTATTATAGGGCATCCCCCAAGTTGTAATTAACCAAAGGAATAGTTCCTTTAGGAGTACTCTTGAACCCAAAACAAGCACAAAAAGTTGATTTCGTGGTTGGGGTTTTCTTTGCAAATATGTTTCCTGGGCATTTCCATTCTGATTTCGTTCGGACGTAAGCTCTTAGGCTATCACACGAAAGTTTCCTTATGAAATTTCTCAATGTTCTTTTTATAATTGTTCATCTATTTTTTGTCGTATTTTCTTAATTTTTGGTTTTTCTCTTATTTAATTCATCTCCATGATTCAAATGAGATTTATTTGGAAGGAGAATTATATGGCAATGGTAAGACAAACTGACATCTCCAAAGTTACAAAAAGAATGAAAACATTTTTCTCTAATGATTTTAGTTATATATGATATTTGAAAGAATTTTAATTTTTTACTTTTAGGTAAGTTTATGAGCTTAATTTTTCATTTTTCATTTTTCATCTTTGCTTTAGGCTTCATCTTTTATGTGCTTCTATTTTGCAGCTTTTTTTTTCTTGCCTTCTCATCTTCTTTTGGATTGCTAATTGTAGGTGGTGTTTGTTTTTGCCTGTCTTTGGATGTTGTTTGTTAATCATTGGTTTGGTTGGTTTTTGTTTATTTTTTTCTGTCTTGGTTCCATGTTTTTTTTCTGTCTTTATATAGTTTATTGTTATGTCTTCTTTGCTCTCTTTTTGGTCTTCTCTGTGTTTGTTTTTTGCATATGTTGTTTTGGCCTTCTAGACTCCGTTGGATAGCTCTTGATCTCTATTGTTGGTCTCTTCTTTATGGTTTATGTTGGTTTTGCCTGACTTTGGGAGCTATCATTGTTGTTTTTGCCTTTCAAACTTTTCTTGGATAGCTCCTCTTCTCAACTACTAGTTTCTTCTTCATGGACACTTCTTTTGGGGCTTTCTTCTTCGTAATCGTTATTGGTTGTTGGTCTTTTTTTTTGTCTCAAGACTTGGCTATTATTGTTGCTCGCCAATTTTTATTTGTTTTTATCTGTTGGTTTAATTGTTTTGCATTGTGTTAGTGTTTTTTGTTTGGTTTTTTTTTTTCTTGGGCTGTGTTTACTTGTCTTGTTATGTCTTTACCTTTTAATAATTTTCATTTTTAATACAGTTGAGTGTGACCCTCACTCATTTTTAATATATATATATATATATATATATATATATATATAAATTTTTAAATTGGATAATTTATAAATATTTGTCCAAAGAGAAAAAAATCAATTAAATAAAAAAATATTTACAGAACAATGATTCTTTATAAAGTACATAACTTTGATAATATAAAAGATATTATAATTTTTATCATTGTCAATGTTGAAAAGTAGTAACATGCAGGCGCGAAATCGACCTCTTTCAAGCAAATTGCCTCGGTAGACCCAATGTGAGAAGGGTTAGGGAAACAAAAGACAAAGTAATATTTTAGGAGAGATAGAAGACAAAGTTGCTCTCCCATATAAGTGAAAATATGAATTTGAGAGAAACAGTTGCCCCCCTGACCCTACTTGAGTTTGCCCTTGATAACATGTGACCCTCACTTATACATATATGGTGCTCTTATGTGACCACTAACTCTTTCATATTATTAGTCATCATCATATTCTATTAAATATTTGAGGGTATTTATATAAATATGAATATTTAGATATTAGATATGCAAATTAATAAAACTTGTGTGTAAAATCCCCCAATAGGAGCTCACCTCCTAAGAACCCACACTCCCACACTTCATGAACATCGGATCGGGACTTGTGTGCCGGAATAAGAGCTCACTTGTAGGGCAGCGGCATTGCCGAGCAAATTCGTTTGCCTTGCAATCAATTCACTCCATTCCTACAAACGACAAAGCTTGTTCTCGATTCTAAGAGGGCAGCGAGAACCCGGCGAAGCGGGAGCAGCATCAGCTTTGGCTAGGGGATCCATTGATTTCGGTTTTCTTTTTCAACACCCAAAACCCTAAAAAGCTCAGAATACTCCCGCCCTCCATTTCATTCCGTAAGCTCTCTCTCTGCATCCCTTATTTTCTTACGTTGCTTGCGTTTTTGGTTCGACTGACGGCATGGAAGAAGAAATTTGATATTGCAATGTTGTACGATTATCAGAGGAGATCGTCAGCCGAAAATGATGGAGCCCTCCAAGGTCATTCATGTTCGGAATGTGGGACACGAGATTAATGAGGTGTGTTTGATGTTTGTGATGAATTTTATTCGATTTTGCTTTCGGATGTGAGCAGAAATTGCAACTTACTAATTGTTTTTGGTTTCCAGAATGATCTTCTTCAGTTGGTGCAGCCCTTCGGCGTGGTTGTGAAGCTTGTCATATTAAGGGCAAAAAATCAGGTTTTTAAATTTTTTTTTTTTGGCCATTTTGTGATTTTTCTTGAGGGATTTACATACAATTCTCTTGTATTAACCTATCTAACACCTAAACCTTCATATTTACATGCATAACATTCAAAGCCTTAACTCACATCAAAAGTACCGCTGGCACTATATTTTTAATAGTGAAATACAACTTTTTTATGCATAGATTTATGACAACAAGATGTTATAAGTGTAAATATCAAATTTTGGATGCTGGTATGTAAATACATAAGAATTGTGTGGTATGTAAGTCCCATTTTTTGTTTTCAAGAATTGTTATGGAAAACTTATATTCATATGAAAATGTTAGTTATGTTTTAATTTTGGTTATATGGTGTCAGGCTCTTATTCAGATGTATGATGTTTCTACAGCTGATAATGTTCTGCAGTATTATGGAACTGTCCAACCAAGCATTAGGTGAGGCCACTGCAATAAAATTCTGTTTGTCTTAGATTATCATTCAATGCTGTTAAATTTGTTTTTTTTATTTTTGGAAGCTGCACATATATACCACTCAACTCTTATGTATTTACATATCTAACACCTACACTTCCAACTTTAACATATTTGCCACCTTACATATGCATGAAAATGTGTATTTCACTTCTTAAAAGTTAAACTAATGATTTTTTTATGTAATATGAAACGTTTGGTTGTTATTTATGTAAAAAGTAATGTTTAGCTGGCAGATATGTAAATACATATGAATTTAACAGTATGCCTGGAAACGCGAAATGAATATCTCCGTGATAGGGTTGATGTAGCTCCAGTGACGGACAAAATTAGAGAGAGTCATCTTAGATGGTTTGTTCACATTAAAAATCGACCATCTGATGATCCGATTAGGAGAGTAGATGTTTTAGATTCGACTTATGTTAAGAAAGGCAGGGGTAGACCTAGGATCACTGGGGCTTATTCTATAAAAAATGATCTTTATTTTTTAGAAATAAATGAAAATATGACACTAAATAGGACGCAATGGAGAAAAAAGATTCATGTAGCCGACCCCATGTAGCGGGATTAAGGCTTTGTTGTTGTTGTTGCTGTTTGGAAACGCCTGTTTTTTCCTATGTAATAATGAAATCACTAAGGCTTTGTTGTTGTTGTTGTTGTTGTTGTTTGGAAATGCCTGTTTTTTCCTATGTAATAATGAAATCACAAGAAATATGCATAATGCTAGTTAGACCACTGAATTGAGTTTTGCTTAACTGCAGTTTGTAGATTATCTATTAAAACCGTTTCTTTGTTTTCTATGCTTACAGGTTTGGTTGAAATCTTTCTCCTCTAATAATATGATCACAAAAAATGTATGATTGTCGTAATGACTGTAAAAAACATTTTCAATGAGTATAAATTTTGATGTAAAGTTGCTACCTTGCCTGAGAATTGAGCTGTCCCCAATTTTGGATATGTTAAATTCAAGATTTTTTTGTGACATTGGGATTTATATCCATTTTAATGTTGTTCTTTGTTTGTGATATTTGGCTAGAAGAAGTTGTGACTTGTAATGATCTTTGTTAAAGAAATGTTATAATGTTGGTTCATTCACATACAGACCATCCAATTCCTAAGTATTTACTTATTTAACGCTTAAACTTTACTTTTTACATTAATACCGCCCAAATTTTTCATATCACATAAAAATAACCGCCATTTTAACTTTTAAAAGGTTAAATACACCTCTTCATGCATAAGTTAGATGCTATGTATGTAAAATTTAAAGTTTAGGTGTTAGATATGTAAATACATATGAATTGAGTGGTATGTATTTAAATATTTCTATAATGTTTTGTACCATGACTATGCTAATATTTGTCATTTAAGGGGAAGGAATGTCTACATGCAATTCTCATCACATCAAGAACTAACAGCAATGGATCCCAACTATTTAGGAAGCAAAGGCGGTGAGCAGGTTCATTCTTATGCTAGTAGTTAATAATTTGCTAAATATTTTATTGTTTTAAGAGCTGAGTTGGTGATTTGGTTTTGATCTTTGTTAAAATTGAGCATATACAACTGATTTCATATAACATGGTCGGTCTTATAAGTATAATGCTTATAGCTTGAAAATATCAATCTTCATTGTTTCTTCTTTCAAGTGGTACTTTTTGTTGCCTGAGTTGCAAACTTTCTAAACAAAATAATATAGTTGGGCTTTTAGGCATGAGTTCAAAATAACCTAAATATGTTAATAGGATGTTTTGATCACTTGTTTTTTCGCAATATTATTGTAAATAATAAAGCTTAAATATGCAGTTTTAGTTTCATATTTTTATCGGAATTTTAAGTTTCTATGGTTTTGTTTGATGGTTTCAATCTTCCATCTCGTTTTATTGGATGGAGACCTAGTAGTTGCAGCATGGAGGATTTCTCGTATTCATTCTATTGCATGAGTAAATTTTAATTAAGAAAACATATCTAATATACTATATGATTAAAATTATAAGAATGTAATATGTGATTTGCAAGAATGATAATGATAAGTTTTAATGATTCTCAAATAATATTATGTCATTTGATTCACATCAAAATTTACTGCTATGATGGATTTTTAAGTGCTTTATTTTATTATATTACATTTATGAGAAATATGAATTTTCATCTATTTTTTGCCTATGTAGTTGTAAGGCTGTTAGTTGGTTTGGCAGTCAGCTTTGTTTATTTATTTTTGGTCATGCTCAAAGTTTTTGGGGGTATTTTTTTTCAAATTATCATACAAACCAATTTCATGAGTAAAACATTTGAACCTGAACAAATTTGTGGTTTTGGTTTTGGATATTGCTGTACTCAATTTACGATGTGTAGTTTCAATTGATTTTGAAATTTATGACTAATCATATTTAAGAATTTTGAACAAATGTAATGCGAGAATTGTGATTATTACTTAAAAACTCCTTATTGCGTTTGTCTTTGCTTAATTGATTTGTACTTGCAAGATTATTTTTATAAACTTCTTTACTTCTTAGGCTTTATTTGAGTTGATTAATTATGTTCTGGCATCATCCAACTATTTTGATTGTTGTCGATTTTTGATTCTACAAAGCATTTTTTCTTCTCCTTTTTCATTTCTTATTTCATGTTTCTGTAGTGTTAATGCATATATAGGGCCTTCGCATGTCAATTAGAAAAGCTTCTCAAAATGTGATTTGAATCACTTTATCTATTTGAAAAGTCTTTTATTGTTTAAAATCGGTCATTTTTGGTATTCAATTTTGAACAAGGGAATGGTTTAAGAACGAATTTACAAATTATGTTTGATCAATTCCTGAGCTAAATTGACCAAACCTTTCTAAATATCTAATTGACCCATTTCCCTCTGGCCAATCTTGAAGCAAAATTAACCAATAAGCAGATTGTTTGAGGCTGATTGATTTTAATCGCTTGATTCCTGACACAGAACAACCAACGTTGATATTTTGTTTTTTTTTTATTCATTGTACATTTCTATAGTTTTGATGCTCTTATGGGTTCCTTATCACTACTTTTGAGATTAACACACCAAAAATTGATCCTTATTTGTTGAGCACCTTCTATATCCATCATTTTGTTTTTTATATCTCCAAATTTAATTGGTTGTAAGTATTGGATGCTCTTATATAAAAATGCATATTTTGCCACTTATATTTTATTGGGTTACCTATTTATCTTTTCTTTGCTACATTTCATATATAAATAGGAACTTTAATTATAAAAAAAGAGGTACTGGAATGCATCTATATCAAGGATCTTACTTCCAAGCCTTCTCCAAGCCTAATCTTTTTATGCTTAGGTTATTCCACTACTCTATGCTTTAATCAGCTTAACCTCTCTTTAGATATATATTGACAGTGGTTGAGATCTTTTGAAGCTTAGTTTGTCTTTTAGAGTGGCACAAAGAGATGGTTATAATCTTGAATAATAAAAAGATTTTGCAAGGTTAAATGGTGTCCAAGGTCCTCAGAAGTATTTGATCATATTTAGTAGTATAAAACAACTTAAAATACGACCTCTAAACATGGAGAATAACAATTCTTGAATTTGCTTATCTCTAAGCTCTTTCTCCCAGGGCCTTCTACATGCTTTTAGCCTCTCTTCATGTGAATTTTTTGTGCTCAAGTTCTTCTACCCATCTTAGCTTTCATTTGTCTAACCTTCCTTGAGGAATATGTTTAGAGTGTTTACATTACTTGGGTATTCATTTTTAAAATCCATTTCATCACATATAAATGCTCAGATGGTTTCATTTGGTTTTAATACTTGCACATTATTGATCCCCTTGTAACAACATTTATTTTCAGTTTCAAATTTGTGTTAGTGTTCTGTTGCTTAGTTTTGGTTATCCTTTAGCCTAGAAAAAGGCTTCTAGGTAGGTTTTAAGCTTGTAAAAGTACCAAAGTGTCTAGGGGTTCGCATTTTCATTCTTGGTTGTAAAGAGGTGGAAGTTTGTATAGTTTGTATCTTCAATACGAAGCATGGGGATTTGACGGAGGCTCTAGATATAGCCAAAATACTATAAATCTTTATGTTTATTTATATAACAACCTATCTTTAAATCATATATAAATAGGGGTGTAAAAAAGTCGAGCCGAGCTCGAGCCAATCTTGTCTTGAACTCGACTTGATTAATTGATCGATTTCAAGTTTAATTCTATAAGTTCGAACCAGCTCACTAGCCAACTTGTTTAGTATGAAAGAGAGAAAAAATAGTAATCTACGCTAGTATTATAATAAAATGACAAATAGAATTAGTATTCTAGGGATAATTAATATGACATAACTTGATATAAAATGTATAATATCATTTTTTTAACATTTTGAATAATTTATTGAAAATTTCTTGAATTTTAATATATTTTGAGTAATTTTTTTTAATTAATTATTTTTTTAAACGAGCTGATCTAAGAGCTAACAAGTCGAGTCGGGGATGACTTGAGCTTGGCTTGTTAGGTCATCAAGCTCTGTTTACGGGCCACTAATCGAGTTGAGCTCGTGCTGGCTCACGAGTCAGCTTGACTCACTTACACCCCCATTATATAAATACCATTAAAATTGACTTTTTTAAAGCGAGTTACAATTTTTCATGCATAAGCTTTCATCTGATTGAGACATTATGTTGTTTTGTAAGTAAATATGAGATTTATATGTTAGATATGTAAAAACATAAGAATTTAATGGTATGTATGGAAATCCCCCATGTAGTTTATGAAGGCATATTAGACATATTTCTTGACATGTTACATAGGTGTTTGATAATAATAACTCTATTAATGAGTATACCTTCATATCTTCTCAACATTCTGTTTTTCTAAAATATCATGCTTGATATATCAAGCTTCATGGATTGATGTTCAAACAATTTGTTTGCAATGTATTAATCTTTATTAATATCAAGCTTATGTGAACTTTTTTTATTTTTTTTAATTTTTAATATGTTTCCTCGATATTTAATTTTTTAAGTTTTTGTCTTTGAACATCTATTGTTGGTGATCTAGGGAGTGGAGCCCAATCGAATTCTTTTAGTTACAATACATTCATTGCTCTACCCTATAACGGTGGAAGTGTTGCATCAAGTTTTTTCTCCATATGGGTTTGTGGAAAAGATTGTCACCTTTCATAAATTAGCAGGTATGATTTTCTCTCGTACTATATCTTCTATTATGCAAAATTGATATTTTTATTCTTAAACTAGAGAAAAAGTTTAAGGGATTTTTTTCATTAGTTTCCTTAAGTTAGCAATCTTAATTGCTATCCATAAACTCAAAAAATTTGTAATAATGTCACTACAAAAAAATGTTGTTCAAGAAATCCTTGTCAAATGGTCAAATAGTCTTTGCATTTGGACAATTGGCTCATGCAAGTTTGGTTACTGATTCGATTAATTGATAGCTTGGGTAATATCTAAATCTCCATACCATCTACTCTCTACTCATAAACACTATTTAATATGCTGTAATTGGCGAGTATTAATCATAAAGAGGTAAAACAATAACAGTTTCATATTCATTCTTCATTTGTTTCAATCTTTGCAAAATTTGTTCTTCGTGATAACATGCCTTAATTGCCAACGGATCAAGCGATTTAATAACATTTCACCAACAATATTTGTATGAAATAGTACTAAATGACAGTGAGCCTATGTAAGTTAACACAAAGTACGAATGAAGGTGACTTATTATGATAATTCTTCTTCTACTCATGAAATTTTTTGTGCTTAGTTGGCGAATTAATAAAATTTTTATCTCTTCTATATGCCTTTATATATATGAAGTTTTCTTGTGTGATGATTATACTTGGTGTTATATCTCTATAAAGTAACTCTTAGACCAGGTTTTTATTAATCTCTTTTATGGATTAGTTTTTTATTAGTTCACATCTTCATGCCATTTTAATGATCTGGATCTTCTCCTAGAATTTTGGCATCTTCATGCCATTTTAATGATCTGGATCTTCTCCAATATTCCATAATACAGGCTTTAGAATTTTGAAATTTTGGCCTGACAACTCTTGGGTGTCTTCTCAGCCAGTGGCTCCTATCCATCCATGTGTTTTTTATGGCGTCAACACTACGATTAATGAAGCCTCTCATTGCACTTGTCAGCAATTTGTTTTCGTTGATATCTTTCTCTTTACCCCTTGGGTCTCTTTTACTTCACCTTGTTGATGTCCTTTCTGGTTATCCCATAATGATTTTCTCGACATTGGGCCTACTACCTTTCGTCACCTTGTCGTTGTCTTTTAAGCCCTCATGATGATTACAATTTGTTGATGCTTCTACAAGTCGTCTCGAGGAGCCGAACTATATTTGTGGCTTCGTCATGGTTGGCTTCAAGTTTCTAGCATTATGGAGTATCACATCGGCATCACCCAAGTCTTTATTGGTAGTTATAATTCTGCTGACATCTTGGTAAGTTTTCTCAAGGAGCTTGCTTCAGAAAGCTGCCCTCCAAGGTTGATCCTAAAGCTATTAGCTCTCTATCCTGGCATTTTTGTGATATGTTTTGTTATAGGCATTTCCTTTGCTGTCTCTATGGTCGAGTTCTCAATGCTCTCCATGACTCTTCTGCACTGCCTCTTACACGACTTGGCAATAACATACAAATCACACCAAATTTGCTCGTCGTTGGCTTTTTGTTGACTTGGTACCTCGGTCCACGACTCGTCACTTATGTTAGTTTGTTCAAGTATATCTTATGCAAAGGAGATCAAAGATAGTTGGCTTATTTTCTTGGGACTTGGGATAATTGGCCCATCATCTTACCATTCTTGGGAAACATGCCTATCAAGATATGCTAACTGATACACAAAAAAATATATGCATTTTTAGACCCATATTTTATACACATTTTTGGAGATATTGCACTTTAATAGAATATATTTTTTGTGTTTTATTGCAGATTGTTAATTTTTAGGACTTGGAGCAAAAAAGAAGCAAAAATGATGAAATTTGGAGTCAAAATAAAGATTTTGAAAAATTGTTCTGCGCCGACGGCGCGATTTGACAAAGAAGGCAGATTTAATTAGATGGCCACTGGCACCTCTAGAAAATTCATCAAATTTGGACGTTTTTTGAAGAGTTTTTAGATGCACCTATTAGAGAACCGACTCTAGGCTCTATTTAGAGCCGAAATTGATCAGAAAAGCAGCCCCTTTCACATCTCTTCGACTCCTCCTTGCCACTTTACGACATTTCACTCTATTCCATACCATTAGTCATTTATTTTCTTTATAGTTTTGAGTTTTTGTGGTGAGTTTAAGTGTGAATCAATCTCTAAGAAGTGTTGGAGAGGGAGAGAAGTGAGAGATTTCTTCTTCCTATATTTCTTAAGAGGCTACAAATGATTTGCTGTAAAAAAGAGTTTCAGATAAGTATTGTTTGTTTATTATTGTATTATGAACTTCCTTTTATATATCAAATTTGTGTTTTGTTGTATTTTTCTCATGAAGTCTGAGCAGTTTCATTTATCTTTCTCCCTACTCTGAGATATGGTGAAATGAAGAGATAATTTGGATGCGTCAATGTTAAAATATAAAATAAATTGTGATGGTTTTGCAACTCCGCTCTTAATTTACTTTTCGATATGGCCAATTGAATTATTAAAATATGTTGTGAAACATATGATTCGGGAAATAGAGTACGAGTTCTGCAACATAATGAGAATCACATTTAAGTTCATGAAGGAGTATTTCATTCATGGAATTAAGTGTAAATAAATAGAGAAATATATATTGTTGTGTGTAGAATTGTAGATTTCTAGGGTACCCTCTTTGATGCTTTTGCCACTATCCTCTTGTGTTGTGCCTCTTGCCAATACTTTGCCTTTGTCTGGTTCCTTGACTCAGTGACCCTCTTTTAACTATTGGTGCTCAAGGCATTGTGGAAGGGATGGTCCCCTTTTAGAAATAGCCCTATGATTTATTTTAGATACCTCTGGAAACATTTGTAGGCAGACTTAGGATATTTGAAAGACTCGAACTATTGGCATACTGTTGGCTATCCAATAGTCATCGATTTAGGAGCACATGTGCATGCCGAGAATTCCAACATGTGCATGTGCATGTCAATGCCATCCACCTGTAGAATTGCCAGCCCTTTGGCCCAATAATTCTCTATCTTGTTAACCTTTTTGTTGAGCCTCCAAATCGATGATGCTCCATTTTGTTGATATATAAACATGCCATTCAATGACTTCATTTTTGTTGATCCGCTGGCATATCCATCACGAAGTTGTCATTTTTTCGAGCTGAAAACTCCTAAATGCTTTTTTGGTGCCATTGTCTCACAACACTCATATGCCCATCTCCTGGTTGAATTATTATGAAATTGTCAGCTTTTAACTAGATGGAGTCCAGCTCTTAGTTGTCTACATTCTTGTGACTTGGGCTAATTTGCCACCCCATTTTGCTTTTATATATAAACCTTTTTTATACAATTGGATCACATCATAATCATCTTGTTCATAGTAAAGAAGAACATTTGGTGGTTTCATGTATTTATTGTATTAATTATTTATAAACATTAAAACATTAATGTATTGGTCTATTTTGAATGTAAATTTTATACGTATTGCTCATCACATGTTTTTATTTGCTTGAGGGTATAGAGTAGGAGATCAAGTCGGTGAAGCCTTGTATGCGCATATTATTAGGCCTTTCTTTTACACCACACATGTTCCTTTTTACTATATTTTCTAATAAATTGAATATTTTCTACTTAATTATTATTTGTGTCGATGTTTTATTTTTTCAGACATGTTTAGACTCTCTAGGAAGTTGTAAAGAGATAAATCAAAATTAATTGGAATTCTTTTCTGAATGTTGCCCGTGGAGAGTCCACACACCTAGTAGACAGTAATCTGTTCTGATACCACTTGTCACCTCCCAAAAGAGCTTTTCTGGGTGGTGGACAGCCCAAGACTTAAATACTGCTTTTCGTCCCTACACCTAGCCGATGTGAGACTTTTTGTCTGTGACATTCTGAGTTTTATTTATACATTTCTATTGTTTGAATTTAGTTTTTGCCTATGTAAAAGAGCCAAAAAGAACATAAACAAGAGCTGCACTATATAACTTGTGTTATCTTATATTTTGGTCATCTCGGCTCTAACTATTTTTGTTTCACGTTGGTTTACTCCGCTTAATTGTCACATCTGGGATATACCAAAAATCTTCGTTGATTAGTTTTCCCCCTTCTCCCTTCTCTGGTGGCACTATTGGCACTTCAAGGATCTTAGCCTAGAGGAAGAGGGTTGTCATTCCATTTTCTTGGGGGAATGGCAAGGTTAATGAGCCCCAGTTCGTTCGAGAGGTCGTGGCTTCCATTGCTCAGATGTTTTGTTCTGTGCAACACAATCTATTGTTGTTCATCAAAATAAACTTGGTAATTCTCTACCCATATTGTCCCACTGTGTATTGGACAATTATCATTAATAGGTTGGGTTTTTACACTAATTATTAGGATTTAATATTTTTAATAATATGTTATGCCAAGTATTATTCATTATGTGGATGTGATGGTGACCCGATGGTTGGAAGTTTCCTCCTGCACCGAAAGGTTTTGTGCTCGAAGCTCGCTAACCCCCTGCCCCAAAAAAATGTATTCTTCATTGTCATTAAATATACTTATGGATAATTATCACCTCAGTAATTATCTCCCCTTTTTGCCTTAATTTTTAGGATTTTGAAATATAGGGACACCTCGCTCTACTTTAGCATCAAAAGGCAGGAAATTCAATATTTTCCCTTTTTTTAAATTTTTGATATTGTGATTGTTTTGAGTTTATAAAATTGTCTTAAAATAGTTGTGACCTTAAAAAATGAACAACTACCTTGAAAATGAATTTGATTTCTAGAAAGTACTCTTATATAGAAAATTCTCTCTTCTTGCATTTCCTTGAAAGCACTTTAAAACAAGAGCTGCACTATATAACTTGTGTTATCTTATGTTTTGGTCATCTCGGCTCTTAACTATTTTTGTTTCACGTTGGTTTACTCCGCTTAATTGTCACATCTGGGATATACCAAAAATCTTCGTTGATTAGTTTTCCCCCTTCTCCCTTCTCTGGTGGCACTATTGACACTTCAAGGATCTTAGCCTAGAGGAAGAGGGTTGTCATTCCATTTTCTTG